CTCTACCAACTTTATTTCAACTCGGATAAAGCCTCACCAGTCCTCTTCGTGAGGTACCCTCTACAAAGATGAGTTCTTCGTTGCTTCTGCAGGAATAGGCGGCCAACAGACTGCATGGACGCCCTTGCCGGTCGAGCCTTCCAAGTCTCCCGTGCGAGCTAGTGACCTAAAGTCAGTAGTGCTGCCCCCGTAGGTTGAGCTCCTAGTAGCTTCTTGTAGGAGTGGGTAACCGACGCCACTAACGAGGCTGATGCAGCACAACCTTAGCTCTAAGGCGCCAACCTGGCAGCCTGGCATGGACGCTGACCTGGCGGCCTAGCCCAGGCACGAACTGGCGAGCTGATAAAAGACTTTGGCTCCACATAAGACTCAGTCGCCTCTTCAGCATGGGCAAAATCAAAGATCAAGGAGAGTGGACTACAAGTCGCTCCCAGAGCTTAAGGGCTAAAGTGTCGAACTGGCAAAGACTTCGACACCACATAAGACCCAGTCGCCTCTTCGGCATGAGCAAAATCAAAGATCAAGGAGAGTGGACTACGAGTCACTCCCAGAGCCTAAGGGCTAAGGTGCCGAGCTGATAAAAGACTCTGGCACCACATAAGACCTAGTCGCCTCTTCGGCATGGGCAAAATCAAGGGTAAGGAGAGTGGACTACAAGTCGCTCCCAGAGCCTAAGGGCTAAGGTGCCGAGCTGATAAAATATTTCGGCACCACATAAGACCCAGTCGCCTCTTCGGCATGGGAAAAATAAAAGATCAAGGAGAGTGGACTACGAATCGCTCCCAGAGCCCAAGGGCTAAGGTGCCAAGTTGATAAAAGACCTCAACACCACATAAGTCCCAATCGCCTCCTCGGCATGGGCATAGAAGTCCCAGTCGCCTCCTCGGCATGGGCACATAAGACCCAGTCACCTCTTAGGCATGGGCAAAATCAAGGCTAAGGAGAGTGAACTGCGAGTCGCACCCAGAGCCTAAGGAATTGAATCGACGCTTACGAGCTCATCGAATTAATCATTTCAGGCCAAAAGGAGCAATCTACTCCCTTCGTTGAGTTACTTTCAGCTTGGGAGTGGGGGGCAAATGATGAGGGCGGATTTGGCCCTCCAATGATATTGTGACACATGGCCCTGGCGCGACCTGGCGGCCTGGCACAGGCGCTGAACTAGCGACCTGGCACAGGCACCGACTTGGCGGC